AGTAGAAATCAATACATGGGAAAGAAATGTATCATTGGTGTTCATTTTTCTTATATCCTCTTAAAATATTTTTGACCTAAATAGTAGATATTAATTTACTGATCATTCATCATTTGACATGAGATTCATGTACTGTTACACATAAATATTTATAGATTATTAGCATACAAATGATAAATAATAGGAAAGATGTTCGTCACATTTCACAAATCATTGATTTCTCATGTTAAAAATTACTTTTTATGTAAGTAAGTATTCAATGTGTGAAATGATGATTTCATACAAAGCAACTAACTAATTCTATCATAAAATAACCCATTGCTTTTCTGTTTTTATACTTGTTGGTAATCGATTTCAAAGATAAATATTCTGAAAGACTAATGGAAAACAACTCGAATGTAGCTGTTATCATGACGTGGCAGTGGGGCTTGCCTATCGTGATGATTGAATCGAGCTATATTGGCTCGAACATATGTTCCTGTAGGTTCTAATATATGCCAGGCAGGTTGATTAGAGAACGGTAAGATTAAAAGTAGCGACATAAGGTCTGAAGGCGAAGTCATACTGGTGACTACAGAGTGGTGTGACAGCAGTAAGGTGTTTCCCTTAGACAACTGGCATTTGCAGCAATGTTGCCTTGTCACAATGGGAGGCATGGGTTAGAATAGGTCAACCCTAAAAATGTCACACCTCAACTAGTATCACAGACTTGTTTCCGACGGTAAAGCCACTTGAACAGCGGAGTTAACGAGTTGGAAACTTTTTATAAAAAGGCCGTGTGTAACTGGCCTCAAGCAGTTGTTCCTTGAGCTATGTGGTCATGCTCTTAGGTCGCTAAAACCAACGCTAGCTTAAATTCTTTAGATTACTGAAGAAACGCCCTTCCACGAAATGGGCAGCCGGGGAGTAAAATCTGTCCTCAAACCCGTAACAGAACCAAAAGGTGAGGGAGAAGCAGTGTATTTCAGTAGCATCTACCGAATTGATAGATGCTCAGAAATTCACCCCATCTAGCAGTGAACAAGGTGAGGGACTGAGTTAGCTTACGAGAAGGCTGATAAGAAGCCTACGCAATGATCACGAACACTGAGGGGTAGCGAAAGTAAAAGAGATGGAGAAGGCAGCAGCAGTAGGTAACGGTAGACAACTGTTCAGACTTATCAACGAAACCGGCGTTAAAAACCCAACTGTTAGCGAGACCATCTCAGTAAAAGATGTAACCACTATTCATTCTCAATCCAGGAGATTGAATCGATTGCTATAACACCCGCCCACTGTCTACATTCAACCTGAATGGCAAATTGGTATGTCCTCCAACTCTTAATGAGGTTGAACAGACTATTGGCAATATAAGACGAGGAAGAGAGGCAGGCCTTGAAAGAACCCCCGAGATTTTTAGAGATGATGGTCCAGTTTTAGCAGTTAGATTGACTGAGATCTTAAGGAAAATCTGGGAACTTGACGTAATCCCATTTGGCCGGTCTTAATCACTGATTCTCCCAGTCCAAAAGTACTCTTGCGACAATCAGAGAGAAATCAGCTTGACCAATATAGCGTCCGAAATGTTAGCCTCGATAATACTTAGAAAACCACGCAGGTTTCAGACCTGGATGTGGATTTATAAACCAGATATTCACACTTCATCAGACCATAGAACACAGACACACATTCAGGCGTCCAACAGTAGTTGTATTCCTCGATCTTAAGGCACCGTTTGACTCTGTTGATCGTGAGATTCTTTGGCAGTGTCTGTCGTTAAAAGGTGTAACCCCCTACTCAAACACTACTGGTTGAGTTAGATCTTATGATTGACTGTCATCTCAATTAATTAGTCCAACTGGTGTTCGTCAGAGTTGTCCACTTTCCCCACCCCCATCCAACTTTGTCCTTCATTAGCTTTTAGAGACTACAATTTCATCGTCTGACGTTTCAAGAGTCAAACTTCTGCTGTGAGATTCGCTGGTTGACTTAGAATATGCCTAAGATATAGTTCTACTTGGTCAATGCGCTGACAAAATAAGTCTTCTAACTACTCTAAACATCAATGCAAGCATGTGTGGGATGCTCTTTTCCTCTTCGACATGCAAAATATAGCTTCAGGATTGGGTTGCATCGGCACCTGAACTGGTGATAGGAAGTGAAATTTTTGACCGTGTTGACTACTTAGAGATACTGCCCCTAACTCAGGTCTCTTGCTGTTCAGAAATGGAAGTGTCGCTATTGTGAAAAAATTATTACCGGATATGAGACAAAAGGTAATAGGAGTGTTTGAACCCATTTGCGTCAGGCCGGGCTGCATCTCTTACTATCCCATGACATACTATGTGTATACCATATGCTGTACTGCTATATAAAGCTGAAGGTTTCCTATGAGACCAGAGGTCCGCTGTGAACATTGTGGATGGCTTGGCATTGCTTTGGCAAGTATTGCTAACAGTCCATATACAAATTTGGTTTGCATGGTAACTGATTTCATCGATACAGGTGGTTATCTTGCAGCATTCCTGTGGGCCATTTTCACTGGGGTGCTGCATTGCATATCATCATTGCTAATAATAATGAGTCTGATAGTCATGTAAGCTGGATGGGTCGAGTTGGCCTGTTCATGCGGTGCATATTAATTGACGCGATCATGGATCGGAAATAATCACCATATACTTACTGGTGTATATAAATGTTATGAATGTTCCACCAGGGTGTTAGGTACCTATGTGGTTGCACCATAGGGACGGAGCCGAACTGTTCATGTTGAAAGCTGACACGTGGGCAGTCTCCTTGGTTCTCCTGAAAACCAATGTAAAATTATGCATGCCAATAGAGGGTTAATTTGTAGATAATTGTGGTAGTCTCAACACTGCTGATGAACTTGTGTCTGATGAAATCTCAACACGATAAAAGAAAGCTCGACTGGCTTTAGCCAATCTGCGTCATTTATGTCGTAGGTGAGATTTTGGCTTGTTAACCAACCGTCGAGTTTACTGCGCGTCAGTTCGCTCCGTCCTACTATACGGATGTGAAATACTGCCACTAAGAGTAGAGAATATTCATAGTATTTGATCATAGGTGTCTTCGAAACATAGCTCAAATATCCTAGAACAATCAAGCACTTAATGCCATTGTTAACATAAAGTTACTGGGAAAGGATGACAGATCAACTGAGAAAATCGACTGAGTCGTGTTAGAATGTGTGGATTACCTGGTTATGTCCGCCTCACAGTAGTAACCGGTGGTTTGTGAATTTGAACAACATGGCTCAAAATCGTTTGCAGTGACGCAGATGTATCCACACTTGATGTTCTTCCATATTATAATCTCAATTCTCCATGATCTTCTTTCTCTTTTCGAACTTATTTCATTGGGATGTTATACTTATCCAATCATATCTTCGATCCCTAATCCTTCCAACTGACGCTAATACTTCTACTACCTCTACTACTATGTGATTTGAATTGACAATTCCATCTCTGTGTGCTAATGTCGTATGTTCGTACGTATGAAGTTCTACGTTGTAGCTGACTGACTGACTGACTGACTAACTGAATGAAAAACAACTACCTGTTGACTCAGTCATACCTCACCAGTGAAGAGGGTTGCCTTCGGAATATTGTTTCTAAATTTAGTGAATGAACTGAAATCATATGTGAACGTGTGTGAAGCATTAGATTTGTAACCAAATAGGATTGATCACGTGAGTAACTAAGGGCAAACGATCAGCTGAGAATATGAATGCAGGTAGGTAAATATCTATTTTGAGTGGATTGAAACTTAAATTCACTTATCATTTATAATTCTATTGAATGAAATGATGTTTCGAAAGTCGGTTTCCCGATAAAATTATGACTGAATAGTAAACGTTACGAGTGAAATCGTCTAACGTATTGATATAGTCTGTAGTGAGTGACCTATTTGATTCGGATCAGAATATTAGAAAGTATTGTTTATTCATAGACCTGTTGAGATCCTTCATTCTCCGCATGATGACTGATATTTGGTGGGACTATATTGTTTTCTCTAATCAATCACCAAGTACTTATTGATGTCATAATCTCTTATTCTAAAGTTAATTAAGTTTGTGTTTAATTTAGACTTAAGGGGCAGTCGTGAATGAATGAAAAAGTTTTGTTGGACGGTCAGTGTGCGATCAGGAAAACCAAAACCTGAACTCCCAAGATTTAAATGAGTGTCAAATATGTAGTTTGCATCAGATGTATATTCCATGATAAGAACAATGTTCATACACATCGAAATCTAGAAATCTATAATTATGCAAACATGTGGATTGAGTGAGTTATCATGTCTGTTACTCACAAGGATCAAGTCAATACAAGTTGTAACAAGTGGATCAATAACAATGGAACAGATGCCTCTACGGTGTTTGCACAACATGAATAGATCAATAATCAGTCAGTAGTCCTCTATCCAATCATATCTGATGAAGGTTGTGAATCATTTCGAAAACAGACCATCGAATTTATTTGTGAATGTGTAAAATCGTCGGATTTCGGAACAACAGTTACAACTTGTGATTCATCATTTGTTTGATCATATAGACTATTGATGAATGATGAAACATTCGAAATGATGAATGCATGTTTTCATCAACATGGAATTGTTGACATACGGATCGTAATTGTGAAAACCATGTTATCTATTATGCTTGTAGTTGACTGTAGATGAACACCTCAATTGTGGTGTCGTGTTAGTTGAATATGATCATTTCACATTGTACATGAAGATGTCAATACATCGATGAGTGTAATGTAGCACAGTGTAATGTGGTGTGATGTAATTAGGAGTACAAAAATGAAGAGTCAGGCATAAAGTATGTAAGGCTTTTCTTGATAGTGAGTTAATGAACAGTTTGTCACCAGTCAGTTAGTAGTAATTTCAAACGAATGGATGATTCCCGACTAATCAAGCCATACAACTATCTTTCTATCAACCGATAGAAGTGTTAGTGTTGCCACATTCGAGTGAAAAATACTACACTTCTTTGATGTCCTGAATGTAAAAATAGAGATGAATGTATGAGCGATAGTCATCTCTGTTTTGATTGATCATCGTTCCACAACACTATCCGATGTTGTTAGTACTCTATTCACTTAACTAATCCTCTCTGTTCCTCTCAACTACTTTGCATTTATTTATCGTAACGGTTTGACATCGGATTCCTCGTAATTTCTACCAATGTCAACATTTTCAAAGTGAGGAATGCGGAGGTGTGTGGTGTTTCTGATTAGACTAGTAAATGAAAAACAACAAACAAATACAATCAATATATTGAATTTTACTGAAAAGAATAATCACGTTTTTGTTTCTACGATTCATTATCAACATCATGTATCACAATGTGCATGTTGAATGGTCAAGTGATCTGGACAGAAAGTGAATCAACTCACCAATGTACAATGTCAAATATTTAGAAAGTCACAAACAAAATGTAACAGTAATTGTGATGTATCGACAATGATTGGACTGTGTGTGTCTGTGTGTGTGAGTGTCGAGAGTGATGAGTTATAATTGTGAAGGATTGGGTGATGAATAGGATGCTAACATTTTACCATCAGGTCGTACATCGTCATAATCCACATCTACAACGAATTCCGGTTTCCGATCCAAATGTATGCCGATGGTTAATTCGTATAAAACTGCGCCGATCACAGCTCCGATATATGGTCCAGCAATCGGTATCCAGAAGAAATAATCTGCTCCACTGAATGCTTGGTTACCCCAACCTATACATGTGATACGAGATAGTGTGTATAAAACATTGAGTATATGTGGATAGATTATGGAATAGAGAGTGGTTTGTGATATGTGGCTTCACTCAATTCATGCAGTGTCTTTCGACTGTGAGTTATTAGAGGCGTAGTGAACAGTGAAGAGACTTCTATTGTATATGAATATATATATGACTATTTATATAAATACTTCCGGATATGGCTGTTCGAAGATGTTCGGAACATGAGGATGAGTTGACGGTCTACATGATGATAAGTGGTATGCTAATGTTGAATCGTCAGCGACTAATCTACAACTTGTTGTCTAGTCATTAGAAATCACCTAATTTTCCCGTTCGATTTCATACAGTGTGGCGACATTTTAGCAGACTCAACTGATTTGTGTAGGTACATCCTATATTCATGAGTTTTGAACATAGTTTTGTTTTGCGACTGTGAACGACATTCATATGCAAGACGTGATTAAACAAATGGGACTGTTTGTACTAAACAGCTTATCTTTAGTATTTCACAACTAGATTGTCATCAGTGCGTCCGGTTTATCGGATACATGAAGGAAAACTATGCACACTGCAACCTTGTTTTGTTGTTTAGACAATCACGAAACTCAATAGAAATACGTCTTTCGAATGTTTTTAGTATCTCGTATTCAACACATGAAACTCATGTAGTCATTCGTCTAGACGAGTTCAGCTTCTGTTTACTGTGAAGACTCAGTCTTGCCATTTTTGGTTGGGATAAGACAACGAGAGTTGAACTGAACTGCACTAAACTGATTTGAAGTGAACCCGTAAGAGGATCTGGTTGTTGAATAAACTGGCACTATATTTAATGATAATATTCGTATCAGTATGGGTGGTGTTGTAGTTCTAATTTGTAGTGCCGTTAATTTCACTGGTATCATTTGTGATCGATAGTCGGTTCAATATACTTCGTGAATTAATCACAATGTATCCAACTAGTTCTTCCACTTAACAGATTAAATAAACTGAATCTCGTATAGGGTGATTGAAATTCACACTTAACCTAAGTTTCAGCACAACACTAATTCGGAAACATTGACATTATGTGAAACGGTGACATCAGTGGAGTTTGTCATGCATGTCATCTCCAGTGAGTCACTGTTTCTATCATGAATATATAATACTTGAAGCAGTCGAGATATCTGTGTATATTCTTATCACAGAGATTTATTTCAACCCTAAATTCAATTGAGAAAAGCTTTATTCACATAGTCTGGATAAGTTGCTTCCACATATCTTCCTTGTTACATTAAGACAGACATTCTGTTTGGTCTGTGGTAAATGTTGAACAGAGTCGGTCTGAGATTGACGACTAATGTGAAAGCCTATAGTGATAACATTGAATGTTTTAGGTAATGTTTACCATCGCGATCATACTTCTGATGACGTAGTTGTGTGAGATCTCTGATAGTCTGAGAGATAGAGAAGGTGTCAATGTGTATTCAGTGGTCGCTAAAGTAAATCCATCTCTTTCATTGATATCGGATCTCCACAATAATTTACAATGTAGAATGATTCAAACTGATTTTAACTAGTTAAAGTGCGTTATCACTATGTGTCTGAGCTCGATGATTATGGTGAAATTATGTTCTGTAAGCTGGATGATATGTTTGCTGTGGTGCTTTCATCGTTCATCTGACCAACACCATCAATACAATGTTTAGGCGGAAGTGAACTGTTGGAATTTCTACAGGCGATGGGTTGTATAGAATGAAATTCCAATACTGCACTTCTACCTAAAGATTTTGCTAATGTTGACTAGAAAACTGACAAAACTTCACAATCAACTAATCATTCAACTCACAGAACATAACCGCGCCACAATTACAAAGTATTCTTCCTAATCAAACCGAGGAATACACACACCGAATCGTTTAACTGACGGTCTCTACTCAATGACAACAACCGAAGTGATCTCAGTGGTCTTGTTTCACCGTTTGGTTTGCTACATAGTCAATGAAAATTCGTCATTTTTACTTGAGTACTGAATACCGAGTGAAATGGGAGTATTCATCCGTATCATAATCATATGTGTATCAGTAATCACTTCAGTATAGATTGAATAATTGACCATGTTGACTATTTCAGAACTGATAAGTCTATTCATTTTAACAAATGTCCAGATTTGTTGCAAAATGAATCACGACTCACTAGGTAAATGGCATTATCTCTGCGACCGTCAATTTGTATATTGGTGGTACTTGTGCCACTCATCAAATAACATCCCCTTCAGGGATGACGAAATGTCGACGAGTATATCGATCGATGATGTAGTAAGCAGGAATTTGATAAATAGTTTCAGTTAAAAACGTTTGAATATGATAAATGAGAATCCGGTATGGACAATATGAGTGAATATGTTGGTATATTTGTCTAATCGTCACTTGCTTTACGGACGGCCTACGTTGCAACTTACTCATCTGGTGTTTTAGTCGAATCAATGTGAAATTAAGCCTCCTATACACACTAGATCAGGAAAGCAAAACCCCCTTCCGGCCTTAACTACATTGGAAGTGTTAGCGAAAGTATAAAATTTATGGGAAGTGGACAACTTACCAAATAGAAATATCATCAGTCTCGGTCCGAGATCACGAGCTGGATTTAGTGCTGCTCCAGCATTCAATGCAAAACAACCAACCAGAGCATACACTAGAAATGCCAGATGTAGAGGGTGCAAGTGGTCTGGAAGTTTCCATCCATTCGGATCAGTGATGGCAAACGCTCCTGCTGTCAACAACGCAGTACCCAGAACTTGATCCAGAAAACATGTCAGATGAGATGCAGATGGATTGGTGACAAATATACCACCTGTCGAATTCAACAACAACTTTCCATTATCGTGTGTTACAGCATATTCCATGATTTTCTCCCGATACACTGCGAACACAACCAATGCACCGAGGAAAGCACCGAGTACTTGAAACAGTGTATAGAACAGTATACGTCGAAATGGTAGTTTCCCCACGATTGCAGATGCCAGTGTGACAGCTGGATTACAGTGTCCGGAACCACATTGTCCAGAGAAGATCACAGCCATATATACTGCGAAACCCCATCCCAAACTAATTGAAATGAATGTTCCGTGAGCTTGTTTGCCGTGATCACCCAGAATTACTTGTGCTAACACACCATTACCAAAGATCAATAGGATAATTGAACCCATGAATTCGCCCAAACATGCACGCACCAATGGACTCGAGGTCAATCGTAGACGATCAGCTATAACGTGTTGTTTACTGACATATTTCTCTGCACACGAAACCATATTTGTTCTACGATTGGCCTTTCGATAACCGTGTTTTGACTGAATTGTTACAGCCAGAGTGATATATCAGATGAGAATAATGATTGTGTTGTTATCAGATTATGCACTGACAAGTTGATAGTTGTTGACCGACCGTTGATTGATAGTTTCGACTGCTGTGTCTGATTTGATAGTTGAATGAGGTTGAGAATTAAGCAGGATGTGTGTGGTTGGTTTGAATGAGAAACGATTTGTGGTTAGTGTGTTGCAGTTGTCTAAATTGGTAATGCCTACCATACTGTCTCGTTTATATTGCTTTTCTATTCTCACATGTACACATACAGTACATTTTCTACACATACTCCATATTCATGCATTCATGTGAAACACACACCCACACACACACACACACTTAATTGTAGATTGGTAATAATTAGTCTCCACTTATATCATTGATGCAAAACAATTCACTTGATGTGTCAATCACAAAGTTGATGAATTGATTTTCCTGTCGATGTATCGCTTACATGATCATTCGTAGTTATCGAGTAAGTTAATTTGAAAATCTAAAGAATTTGTCAACATGTTTCATGTGATCATAATAATTATAACTACACATACATGAAATAATTTTTGTGATGTTTACTGGAGAAATTGTAAAATAGCAATTTAGTAGAAGCATTCCAATGAAACCATAGTTAATCAATAAACATCGTTGATGTGAATATTTTTCTATATATGTAATAGAAACAATCTTATTTGAGAGGTTATGTAATTTGGCTGACCATGGATTGAACAGTTTTGGCATTCACCTTGAATACTGTTAAATCTGTTGTGATGATTTTGAGTGCTGATCAATTATGGATAGTTTTCGGTGGAAGTGACGACGTTCCAAGTGAGGGAGATAACTGAAGAAACGTTGGTTGGTGCGTTCAGTTGTTCTTAGTGGTGTATGCTTTCACGAAGAGAACACAATTGGTGAAATGGAAACACTTATTCTTGTAAACAATTAAAACCATAACTGTTTCATCGTATCCTTTTTGTTTAATTATACCAAAGATGATAACTCGCGCGCCAAGCCTGAACCTACCGTTGCGCTCGTTTATCCTTTGTTGTTGTTAGCTGCTGTTTTATTTCGGTCTGGATATCTGTTCGATATGACGAGACCACGAATCAATACACTTTGTCATCGAGTCACAACAGCCTTCCTTTTGATTTCTGGATTTAACGGGATTTTATTTGGTAATCTTGCGACAAGTAGTCACAATTTCACTGCAAGTTCATCTATGGTGAAATAGTTTGCGAAATTGTGATGTCATTCATTGTACAAATATCCCGTCTGATATTACTTTTACTTGTATCTTACACATATTCAGATTCGTTTGTCTAATATCAATATGTTTTTCACTAGTTTCTCCTAACTTTTGCATCACCCGTTTGCAGCACTTCACTTATTAGTTACAAGATCTTATCGAATTAATGTAACATAGTATGCGAATTAGAGTCGTTCGTTGAGGTATATATTTTTTAAATGAACCATTTTGGGAAACAGAATCATATACTCACTCATTTTGACAGAATAGTTTTCAGATTTCATAAATATCCCAGAGAATATTTCTTCCAAGTTTTAAAGATGAAAATCATTGGATATTATGTTGGTTCGGTGTGTTGATCGATAATCATCTCAAATAATCAGAACTACTGAAATGTATAAATAGAAAACGTAATCGTCTATTTGATAAGTTGTGCTTCCTTTACACATTACTGATGAAGCAGTTAGAATTTTAGATTTTCAAACAATCGAAAATACTGCTTACTTACTTGTACCAGTTAGCTTTCATGTGACATTGGCCCCTAACGAGGATTATTCAGCCAACTCTATCCTGTTCTTGCCTTGCCAGTTCTTGCCAAATCCTATTCATTCTTTTCATATTTGCTTCCGATTTCTAGTCCAATGTTGTTTTCTTTTGGTATTCTTCTCTTTCTATTATCTTGAGGATTCCGTGTGAGGTCTTGTCTTGTAATTCAGTTCGATAATTTCTATTTTATGTATTCTTTCCACCTCTAGCGTTTTCCACTAATTTGTTCTTCCTCAGCTGGAAGCTGATTTGTTCTCTGCCAGAGTAGATTGTTGATGGTACTGTCCTACCAACAAATCTGGAATATCTATCTCTTGTAGACTTTCTATCAATCCCTATGCATTCATGAATATATGATCATCATCCAATCGGTTCACAAACAAATATTATCAATATTTCAGATAGATGTCTGATGATATTGTGTACACATTTTCGCCAAAACAAACTGTGTCTCCTTCATATGTGTATAGCTTCTGACTGATCTTAACTTCTGACTTGTACACACATATAAACTATCTTAAAAGTAACATCTATCACAATAGTAAGTATGTGTTGATAATTTCAAAAAACAGATCAATGCATTTTAATATAATTTATATATTATGTCTCATCCCCTGTCTACTTTGTTTGTATGATGGAGTTTCGTTCTGTCAGCTGATTGTGCGGATGATGATGATGATGATGTTATTGTTCAGAAGAACAATAAAAACTCCACATCCTAAAAACATCTAGCTCATAGGATGAATGAAAATTCATCTAAGCTGCAATCTTTTTTCCATCATCTCAGTTTTATTTGTCCGATACATAAATGATTGAATTCTATCTGTTTTCAGATTGAAATCATGGTATCGATCAATGTTATACCACCACTATTAGTAGCCTATGAGCACTAGACAGCCGCTTCGTCCCGGTATAGGACTCATCAACAGTGCGCCCCTACGACATTCGCTACGCACAGGATTCGAACTCAGGACCGTCAGAATTGCTTGCGAACGCTTAACCTTTGGATCACTGAACCGTTGATCAAGTGGTGTTTGGCGTCTAACTTTGACTATTACACGGTCATGCGCAACCTCATCCACTGTCTTCGGTATTTACTGCCTATACCCGACAGGGTTAAACTCCACTGGTCACAACTTCTTACTAGAATTCGGAGAAGCTTCTTCACGAAGCTGACCACACGTAAGCACATAATAAGCTACAGTATTGGGTTATGGAGATTACTGAGTTACTTCGTGGATGCGTGTTACGCTCGACTCTAGGTATGTTTAAACTATTACGGGTTCACCTTAGTCGAATAACGAGAACAAAACAATGAACCAGTGTCCAAGTATACTACTGTGATCCCTTGACCAAATTGTACCATCAAGAAGTCTTGATATAGCGTAGAAAGTGTATTCTACAAACACAGCCCAGCCAGCACACAATGAATCCAAGCACTCAAATTGCGTTTATTTATACTCCACAGAGACGTCCTTGGGACAGTCACAAAAATAGCACACTAAAATGATACAGTAACCAATCACAGCCAAGGATTTTCCTATTGGGATCTATGATCTCAAGGTCCACTGATCGGTTCATGAAATAAATCCAAAATAAGGATATTTATAAAGCGAGTTGTAGGGATAGAACATCGTCAACAATGTGCACTATCACTAATGAGTCCCACATCAGAATGAAATGGCTGTCTTTCAGTTCTTTCAAGTTTCTAATAGTGGTATGGTTTAACTCAACAATCTACACAACATTTTCATGCATATACATACATCTTTTTTTTAAAGTTTTTATTAAGTAAATTAATTATATCAGAATAAAACTAGCGAAAAATGATTTGTGCCAAGAAAAATGTTGTTTACTGTTATTTTTACAAATTTCCATAAATATACAAATGTATTATTTGCATGTATATGCATGCCTATGTATTTGAATGAACAGTCAGTCAATCAAAATTACAATTTTCAAAATTTATTTCTCTGCCCCCTCCCACCTCATTAGTTTGTTGATTTCTATGTCGTTTTTAAAATTAAAAAAAAACAAATTTTTCACAAAAAAAAACATCTTTTTCAGCTAATTAATTAATTAATTTTAAAAATGTGAAATTTTTACATTTTTTTTCTTAGTTTTGTAGTAGTAATCTCACTAAAAGTTAATTAACACAATTTTAATGATTCATGCATAGGAATGTGATTTTCTTCAAATTTGAAAAAATTTACGCGCTTCAATTCAACATTTGTTTATTCAAAGTATTACGATATGGAATAAATAAATATTTCGCCATGATGATGATGATGAATCAATCATCAAGAATGTAAGAATTTTAACAATTGAAATGGATTTTGATTTTCGGTTGATCATGAGTTGAGTGAAATTAAAAAGTTTTCTCATATCATTAATTATACTGACGAGATTATCATGTGCTTATTAGTTTTGTAGCTTTGAAAAAAGAAATTTGAAGAAGACAGTGCATTCACGAAATGTGTGTATAGACATAATCTTCATGATAGAGTTTGTGAAGATTGTTGAGTAACTTTAAAATCATGCATCGATCAATGTTAAACCATCATTAGAAACGATGGAAGAGCTGAATGGTCGTTTTGTCCTGTAACAGTAGTCATCAGCAGTACGCTTCCATGACTTCTTCTACTCTAAGAAGTCAAACCAACGTCAACGTTTAAAATCTGGGTTACTGGGCTGACATCCAACGATTTTAATGTCTAACTTTGATCAATCCACAGTCTTGCAAAACCTGGGTTCGAATCCTGCGAGTCGTGGATGCACCCTGTTGATGAGCCCCATACCAGGACGAAACAACCGTCCAGTACTTTCAAGATTCTAATGGTGATCTAGTAATCATTAATTCATGATTTTGAATGTAATCTTCAGACAAATATTCATAATACAGGTAGATTTGTGACTGTTACCTCTGACATCTCTTCGGGTCTTCAAAATAGTTGGATCATGCCAAAAATTTTGATCTCTTGATACTCTTTACTCTGGTATCAACTTCTGAATAATGCTTCGTTGCATACTAATTACACATCGCTTTTTGAGTAGTGTCCATAAGATAGTTACCTATTAAAAACAATGAATTGATTGAAGTTATTCATGTACATTATTAGATTCGGACCCAGTGATCTGAAAATTAAATAAAAGCCTTCGAGATCGAAGGTCTTGGAACTTATTCCCAATTGTCGTGGGGTCGTAGATGTGCAATGTTGGAGGAAAAATCTGTCCAATGGTTCTATGTTTTCAATGGTGGTTGTGTAACTTAGATCTGTTATGGCGGGCACTTAAAGAAGATTAACTATCTCCTAAAACTGTTTTTTCTGCTTAAGATTCATTATTTTTGGTTGTATACAAAGTAAGCATTTTATTCCTATTATTGTGACGTTGCTCTTATCCTATACTCTTGTTTGAGACATT